ATATATATAAAAGTGTCAGACTTTCCGGAACAATTTCAAAAATCAAGTTGAAAAAATTAATTTTTTGTGAAAAGTTGTCATTTTCAATCTTCACTTTGTGGGCAGGTAGAGGGTCAGATATAAAAAAAAAATATACCAAATGAAAGGTAATGATAACATGCATCTATATAAAATAAAATTATATTGATTTGGTTATTATTAAAAAATTTATAGCAATTTTAAGGAAAAAAAATTGAAAAAATTAGCGATTTTTAAATTTGTAATTTTTTTGGAGGTTTCCCCTATTTACGGGGAACGAGGGATTTTTTCCAATTTTTGAGGGTAATGTCTTCGACTAGATACGATTTGTGATCTTTTGACGTATCATTGAAAGAAATCGGTTCGGTGAGAGCTGAGAAAAAGTGGTAACAGACACAAAAAAAAAAAAAAAAAAAAAAAAAATACACATCATAGTAAAACTAATACCTTCTCAGCTTCGCATCGAAGCTAAAAAGTCATTAAGTCCTTATTTCTTAGATGTTGCCTAATAAAATATTGGTAGCGCTGTTTTAAAGGGGCCCATATCCCAACACCCTTAAATACACTACTGGTATATACAAAAATTATTAATATTAACACGCTTATATTAGTTTCACATGTATTTTGTATGTTGTTTGTATTTTGTTTGTATGTTGTAAGTTTGTAACTCCACGCGGCACGTGTTATTATGTCGCGTATGCCGTCGTCTATGACCTTGAGACTAGACCGTCGTAACGCATTCACCCCACCCCGCTCACCAGTCGGCGCCAACACTATTTTTTTCTGTATAATTTTGAGTATTTGACTGACCAACACCGCGCGTTATACGCCGCGGTGCAAAGTCCAGCAAGTGCCGCACGGCCGACGACGTACCGCCGCTAATGATACCGTAGTATTCTTCCTGTTGTCAAAGTGGCAACGTCAATAAACCGATCTCCACTCGCGCACCGTCGCCATCAACGCTGCTAACCTTTTGACGCCCGAGGATCACGCCGGACATCGCGTCGTCGACGCCAACGAAAGTGCCACGATATTATGCGAAGATTATATATTCTTACCATCGCCGCTAATATTAATATATATATACATATATATATTATTATTTATATATACGTATATGTTAATATTCATTTATATATCCCTACAGCCGACGCCGCTGCCGCCATATATGCCTCGCGCCCCGCCCGCCAACAAAACACAGCTATACCTCGTGCATGATACGTTTACGTACTTAAGTCGCTTTACATGTATATATATATATATTTTTTTTACTATTAAAACTTATATATTAATACGCTTTATTCTCATTAAGAGATATATAGGGTATTTATTCCGATTACAAAGGATGATTCCCGTATCGTCATTTTACGTCACTACCTCCACGTTGCGCGCCTGCTGCTTTCCTTGGATGTGGTAGCCGTTTCTCAGACTCCCTCTCCGGAATCGAACCCTGATTCCCCTTTACCCGTTACAACCATGATATTGATAGTAACTACTATCATAACATGTAACTAAAAAGTGAAAAATAAATATAGTTTAAAAAAACTAAAAAACACGCTTTTAAAGAACATCGAACTAAAAAGTTAAAAATAATTTTTAAAATAAGCGTAAAACAATAATGAACGAAAAGTACTAGTATTATTGTGATAAAAGCGTCGGGCGCTCAATATACGAAAAATATAGCACAAAGCACCCACGCTTTTATTACAATAATACTAGTACTTTTTTTTAATTATAATAATTGTGTTTATATTATAGAATAATTACAAAAAAAATTGACAGGTTATTATACATGAGACTATGTAAAAAATTTAATTTTGATAAAAATATTTATAACTGTGATTTGACGTTGGACAGCATAGTTATCATAGATGGATCCCAATTTTTACGGTAAACTCATAGACTCATACATCATAAATGAGAAAAATAAGATTATTAATACTGTACTGTTCTGATTATGAATGTACATTCTTATATAATTATAACCGTCTTGAAATTTATATATAACATATAACATTCCTTGATAAAATATAGTGCTATGCCTAAATGCAAAATAGTGTCCTAATATAAACTCAGCGTGGACATAAAAAAAAACTTCAAAGCGAAAATAGTACAATTGAACAGTATAAAAAAACATTATAAAGCAAAAGTTATAAATAACAACAAACATGATTAAATATATCAATAAATTTGTATTTATAAATATATTTAACAGAAATTGTCTGCAAGTATCTTAATAAAAATAAGCTTAATAAACTAAACATAACATAAAAATAACAAACATAATATCAAAAAAAAGATAGTTAGTAACTAATACAATCTATTCATAACAATAACATACAATATTAATAACAACATATATTAATTATAAATTAAAAAGAAAATTAAATAATCATAAAAATACATACTTCACAAATTAAGGTTCACAATAAACATATGTGCAGAAATGAATAAATGCCGATATTAAAATCATGCGCATGGATTTGGGAAAAAAAACACGTAAAACGGAGAAAAGTGAACGGATTGAATTGATTTTTTTATCGTATCGCAGATATTTCATTGGTCGGGACTGGTGAAAATTTCAAACCTTAAGTTGTAAAACGCTCGCGGGCGAGCAGCAAATATCTTCTGACCTTTGCCAATAATTTTCTCGGAGTCTGGTGACCGAGTGCTTTCATTGAAAAAAATTTTGAAAATTCGAGCACGCAATGTAATTTTCCCAGAAAAGCGTTTTTTTCCTTGTTCTATTATGTAATAAGATTCATAGTACCATAAAATATTGTTTTGGTACGATGGGTGTAAAAATGGTATGAACACCATATTAATGGTATGTTTGGCAACGCTGCCAAAACCCTTAGAGTATTACCACATATAAGTTTTATCTTAACCGTGGTATTACTCTATGCAATAACCTAATTGATAACATTAGTTTTAGATAAGATATACTATATATAAAAATTAAAATAATAAATATTTTTTGTCTAGTACCGTGGTATAATTGTTATCATATAAATTATGTCTATAATGTTTTACTTGGAAGTATTATTTAATTCTTTACTGAAAGGTGACAGTGTATTTTAATGCTAGTGTACTCTTAGTTATGATAAGATTTATTAATTGTATCTAATCTATTATAATGTAATATGTATTAATTAAAAAATTATAATTGATATTGTTTTCGTAAATCATTTAAAATACTTACCCGAATTTTCTTTTTACAACCTTACACAGGCCAAAATAAGAAACTTACTTTTTTTTTTGTTTCTATTAATTAATTATTTCTGTATAGTATTTTTTTCTTTAATTTTATACTTTATCAGAAGTCACTAAATTAACTAGGCAAATTTTAGTTGAACAACTTGCATATCTTCACTGTGTAATATGTGTACTATCAATCAGAATGAATGTTCAGAGTCACAGCTTCTAAAAAAAGGTACTAAATAATAACAAAGTGCTTATAATTTAATATTGTGAATTTTATATTATTAATAATTATTAGTGGTACCACTTATTATTCTGTTATTTTAATATAAGGCTATATTTTGCTTTTATTTATATATTGTATTAAAAACAAGAAGCATTAATTATATAACCACAGTTTGGTCAATAAATAATGATAAATAAAAAAATAAGAATAAAGTTTGAATTAATCATGCATTTTACCTATTCAAGTTATCAGCTTCATTTTCTAAACACAAGTACTTATATTTATGTTGATGTGTTAGCTAATTTTATCATGACTGTATGCATTAATTTTATTAAGATTCATTGAAGAACACATTTGACTCTCTAATTTCATTTAATAATCAATTTGCTGTAAGGTAAGTAGTAGCTAATTTGTACTATTTTAGTACATAGTACTGGTATAAAATTGTATAAGAATTTAGTAATAAGTTGAAATTTGTATTATTTTTGCTTTATCTAATACCTTTTTACTTATTTAATATTTTGGTATGAATAATATTTGTGAATTTTTAAATAATTTTATCTGTAGAAAAATATAATATATATTTTTCTTTTTAATGCCTTAGTGTAAATATACAAGTATACCAAAAAATAATTAAATTCATAAATATAAAACTTAAAACTTTGTTTAAAAAAATATTTATTTCTTATCAATACTAAGTATGTATTAAACTTATTAAAAGATAGCAATTTTTGCATTCAATACATAACATACAATAAGATTTAAATACTATATAGCATATATAATTATTTTGCAATAAATAGTTAAAGATTTTAAAATATTACTACTGAAATTTTGTTATCTTTGTTGTGGCTTCTGCTATAAACAGTTAATTTTTGCTTAATACAATTTAAATATATTTTATTCATTAATCAACTTATTAATTTGTAAAAATAGTTTTAAAGTATTTTTTCTAGAAAAAAATACTGTATAGACTGTATATAACTATCAACTGATTATCTACAAAAATATTGTTGATGGGAATAAAAGTAAAAACTTGAATATGTATCAATTTTTGTCTTAAAATATATTTTTTTCTATATTGAATTTAGTTTTGTCTACACCTGAGAATGATGGGAAAAAGTGAAAGGATTATGAGAATAGATCTCCCTATTGACATATCTTTTTAGAAATTTTTATAACATTTTCCTTGTATATATTTTATATTTTGAAAACTTTATATTGTATACATTAAAATTATAAATCCTGTAAATTTGATAGTTTAAATTTTAAGTCTTATATATTATATATCTATTGGTAAATAGTGTACTATTTAAAAAAATTAAATATTTAAAATAGGTTTAATAAGAAAAAATTTATTTATGCAAATTTAATAGTCCATAATTACATCTTGATATATTAATACAAGTAATAAAACCTTTGGAGTATGGGGGCTCTGGGTATATCATCATGGGTACAGTACACATGATGATTTTTATAATAAAGGTTCACTATCCTCTTTCGTGGCAATATTAGTTGACTACCACTGACTCCTGACAACTATTTGAAGTTTAGTTAACTTTAAAAATAATGTAAATAATGAGTTAATGTATAGTTGAAAGTTACCGAGAAACTTTTTACTTTAGTATTTTCTTGGAATATGGATTTTTTTGATTTTTTATTATTCAGTCATTTAAATTCTAATAAATTCAGAATGAATGATGCAGACTGTACAAATATATTTTTCTTTCGGTAAATTGGACTTATTATTAAATATTTTACTTGAAAAAAAATTGTAAATAATTCTTCTTATTTTTCAGTTGCTCTAGTATAACAAGAATTTAAGACAATCTCTTACACTGGAATATTATGAAGAGCCTGCGTTTTAGATAAAGTTTTGTTTTAAAGTGCTGTGATTTACATATACATGATTAATTTTCATGTCTTATTTTTAATTGAACCATAGAGAAATAGTGTGATTTAATAGTGATTGTGCCGCGTTATGTCTATGAATCGTCATATTCAAAACTTCAATGATTTTGATATTGAATCAGGTTTTCAAGAAGAAGAAAATGTTATTATCAGTAAACCTTTTATTCCTGCCAAGGCAACTAAAACTGTATCTCCACCACCTGTTCGTTCGTCTTATAAGGTAAGGCTGTTATTCATTGTAAAGAAGCAGGTACTTTAATTTGAAAAATAATCTAATATAAAAACACTTAATCAAACAATTTGCTGTTATTTTATGACTAGTCGCTGATAAGTGATAGTAGCCATTAGTAAAAAAAAAAAAATTTGGCAATTCGTTTTAATATTTTAAATTGTTGATATATCATTACATACAAAAAAAAACATAATTATAAACTTCTCAGATTTGCATTAAAGCTTATAGAAAAAAAAATCACATTTATTTATTTGTTTTTTTGTTTGTAATAAGTGTAAGTAATACAAATTTGTCTTGTTAAAAGTTAAATGATATTCATTTTGTTAGTGTGTGTAGGTATGAAGTTTACTTATGAATAATCATAAGATAAAGTTAAAGTTTCATTGTTTAATGAAAATATTAGTACTTTTGCAAGTCATAACTGGATTATTGGATAATTTTTTAAGAATTAATGTCCTGCTATACTTCTTAAAAGTGCAGTAAAATATTGAGAAATTGTGTTAAATTTAAAAATAAATATTATGTTTAATGAAACACTGCATTTAAAAATTGTGTTTTAGGGGTTTATAGTGATTTTTAATGAATTTTAAATTAATTAAAAAATTTCAAAATTATTCAATCAACAAAATTTTAACATAACTTTAATTTTCAAAATTGTGAAATGACTGCACTTTATAGTAACAGAGCAATATATATTTATTTTTTTTATTTATTAAAATAACAAATAGTATTAGATCATTTTATGGACCTAGCTATAAAATTAACTTTTTTACTAACTTAATAAACTGATAATTAAGTTTATTTGTTAGCAGCTTTTACAAGTTTTACTGAATTTAATTGTCAAAATAAAAACATTTAATGATTATATTTGTAAATTATTTTATTATATTACTGTTTTTAGTGAGAAAAAATTGATTTTTAAAAATTAAAAAAGTAATATAAGATTTATAAGTAAATAAGATTTATTCATATAAATTTTTTTTGTTTTTTGTTTACTATCTTTTCTTTTGTATGAACAATATTCCCTTACAATACTGACTTTTTAACAAAGTAGTATAATCCATATACTTAAACAAAGTATGGTGTAATCAAATGATAATTCAATTTTTTGTTAAGCTCATAAATGAAAGTTCATCACTTTAATTTTTTTTAAATTTACGTATTGTTATGAAAATTTATATTTATGTTATTATTTCAGTATAAAATAACAGTGACAAACTTAGTTTTTTTTTTTGTTCGCGAGTGAGTAATTCTTTATCTATATCAATGAAGATCATTAAATATTTAAGTGGATTAAGTTATTTATTTTTATATGTGATGTAAATAAATCAGATTGTTATTAATTTTATTGTACTAGTTTAATGAACTATTTAATGTAGCTTGATAAGACTGGAAACAATATTTTTTAAATGTGTCAATGAATCAAAATCATCTTGTTTAAATATTGAAAAATGAATCTGTCTTCAAGAACAATGTGTATTAAATAACAATATTTAATTATTTAATGCACATAATTAAAACAAGATAGAGTTCAACCAGGTTAAAAATAATTACAATACTATTTTTAATCAAGATTATCATCACCAAATACATAATTGGCAAAGAAATTATATCATCAAATTAGACATAACAGTTTTATAAAAAAAACATCTAGTATAATTAGAAACATAAAATACATTTAATAAGTACATAAAAACTGTGTAGCTATTGATTAAATTTAGAATTTATTATTATTGAAATAAAAGAATACTACTATAAAACATTATAGTATATTGAACATTTTTGATCTTATACCATTTATTCTAGCATTTTAATTATAGTGTATAAATAATTTAAAAACTATTTTAGTACTTCAATGTTATATACCTTAATACTACATATATTGTATTAAATTTAATTAAAGTAGGTACTTATATATCAATATTATATTAGTAAAATTTAATATTTTTTTATTTACATAAAAAAGTATAACTTGTAATATTTTTAATTTCTTTATTACGTTTGTTGCTGAAAACACATGTTTTATTTTTAATAGGCCCCTACAGGGTTATCTCGTGAAGAGCAGTTGTTGTCAACTGTTGTACATTTGGACAATGGAACTACTGGTTATTTAATAACTCTCAACGAAGCAACAGGATCATGGTCATGTCACGCTTGCTATCCATTCAAAGTTCAGTCTATGTCCTTATTGGAAGAGCACTTGGTCAGCAAAAGTCATTTATTAGAAATGGGAAAATCTTGCTTTCCTGCCAAAAATTTTATCAAAGCATGTTCAGAAAGTAAGTATTAAATTTAAATGATAATTAATCTTAGATCAAAGAGTAATTTTTGATGACTAAATTTAGCTGGCTTAAGTGTTGGTGTACCTTCTATGATATCTGGTGAACCTATTCCACCGGGTATGGAAGATGAAGTTGAAAATGTTTTAGCTCGAATTCAAGCAACTCTCGATTCAATATTTATTCCATTAATTGGGTTGGAATTTGTTTTGGAACTTATACCACCAGAGTTAAATGAAGAACCTAGATATATGTGTGCTCTTTGTGATAAACGGGGAGATCCTCGTACATTTCCTAATCATTTACGCAGCTTTAATCATCATATGGCTTACTTGGTATGTATTGAAGTATAACATGTCTTTGATAACAACTAGAAGACCTGATGTTATTTCAATTACTCATTTAGTTTATTTGGTACTATTCATAAGTGTATAGGTTATTGAATTTCAAATCTATTTTTTTTTTTTTTAATGTCAAATTTTCATTCAGCTAATGTAGGTTTTAGATATGAGATATTTTATATTATGCTGTATTTTGTACCAGAAAATAGTTGCATGTATTTGTTTAATTTATTTTGGTTTTTATAATTTATAGCGGAGATATTTCAGATCATTAGCGAATGCATTAGAACAACTTAATAAGGTTTCATCTAAGGGTTTTCAAGAACTTGTCTTTCACGTTATTGGAAAAATAGAAGAAGAATATGGACGCATGAAGCCAGTTGTTGTTGATGCAAGTTTATTTGATATACCAACAGAGAAAATAAAAATTTTAAGACAAGTTAATAATGGAAAACATATTATGTAAGTAAAACTTATTATTTTTTAACAATTATTATCTTTTCTAAGTTTTATTTCACAATTGCATTTTGATTAATATGTGTAATGGTGAATAGTAAATAAATTAATGTATGTAGAAGTCAATAACTTAATATATATATATATATTTTTAATAACCTTTATTAAAATATTATTTAGCTCAACAATTATAAGCAAACATAAAAAGTATAACAGTCATAGTACTATGTTATAACGGTACAACAAATGCGGAAATAATTGTTAGTATTATATTAGTACATTATTTAAAATTATTGTTAACAGAGCCTTTAATGACAAACTGAAAAATTATTAAATTAAAATTTTTAATTGAAAGAAAGAAAGAGAGAAAAAAAACAGATAAATGAATAACTACAATATAAAAATAATAATAATAAACTAATTAGATATTAAATGACAAAGCCGAAACTCCTCAAGAAGGATATGATGGAAATAATTATAATGGAAGAACGGGAATTAAGAGTATTAGCTACAGAAGGGGGATTAATATTGTGGGAGGCTAAGAGGCTAAATAGTTTATTTCTAATATTTTTCTTTTTCTTGTTCTGTTATTTTTCCAAAAATAGCAATGTTTTAATAAAGTACAGATGTCTTATCGCACATCGAGCGCCTATCCACATTGTTGCCCAGTAGTTTTTGTAATTGGTTATTTATCTTACAAACACTATAGTTTGTTTATTTATATATTTTGCTCTGGTTATGTCTAATCAGGCCCCGATGGGGGGGGGCGTTCTACCCCTCAAAATTGGCCTCAATCGCTCGCGTTACATAGACAATCATCTTCGGTTGAAAATCTTTTAGTTTATGGTAAGAAATGTTCAATTAATAATAAAGCGAAGTTTTCATGTAGTCCTCTAACAAAAATATCCAAAACCGCATCCACCACCTCATTGCTCTCTCCACCGGATGACTGCATGCAGGTCGATCCGGCTATTGTTGTCTCTGATAAGCTAATGGTCTCAACTCTAATACTTTCCAGATAATTACTCCGGACCTTTATATATGTTAGTTTCTACAGCCGACAATAATATAGGAAATTTACATCCAGTGAAACTTGGTAAAGTTATCACAAAATCATTTAAAGGCATTCTTAACATCAAACCTTTAAGTTCTAAACGTGTTAAAATTGCTTTCGATACCAGTCTCCAATGTCAATTATTTTCTTATCTCGTCTTACCACTCTGAAAATGGATTAATCACCTCTATTCGAAGCACTCTTTTATATAGTTTAGGTATTATCCGTTTAGACACCAATGTTTTGGATAGTGATTTCTGGGATGGCCGTGAGTCCTCTGTCAAAGTTTCTTCTTTCAGAAGATTAAACTCTAAGCGAGACAACCAACTTGTGCCCTTGCCACACGTCGAATTGAAATTTTTGGCTCCGTCCTTACCCAAACATCTAACTATTTACAAGGTTATTTTCGACATTTCTCCAAGTGAACACAGTCCCGTCAAATGCCAAATGTCTTCGATTTGGATACACTCAAAAATTCTGCCGCAGCAAAGAACGCTGTGGCCACTGTGGTCTGACAGATCATAATGCTTCTACATGCCCAAACAAAGCAACCTCCCCACCCTCATGTATATTCTGTAAATTGAACCACCCCTCAACTGATCGCTCCTGCACCGAATGGACCAATCAAAAGGACATAAAAAAAATTATAGCCACCAACAACATGTCTTATTCTGAAGCTGCTCAAATTAAATGCTCTGGTATCGTCAACCCTGCTTTTTCTTATGCCAGTATGGTAAATAAAAATAGTGTTTGTAATGATACTACCAAAAATATACAACATGTGAATTCCTAGCCCTCATCATCCTTCCAATAACACCGATAGTATTCCCTTCCCCTTACTTCCTCCTTCAACACATAAATTAAAAAATATGAATAACAAAAATAAATAATAATAATAAGTCTTTCTCCCAACTTCCATTTTCTCAACCTCTTAACCAGGGGTTTCCTCTTTCCCTAAGGGTCATTTTTTAAATTACATGGCCTCTATTAACTCTTCTCATCATTATAACAATGTTTGGATTCCCTCTTTTATAGATCAACTTTCCCATTCACTTATTTAAAATCCTAATTCATTATCTTCCTTAGAATTGCTAAGAATCGCTTAGAATCCTTATTATTGAATCATCTCTCCTTAAATCCAAACCTTGTGAATCTGACACTGATGATACTCAGGAATAATTCTACCTATTCTAACAGCTCTATTCCTTCCTTTAACGTTCTCCAATGGAACACTAGGAGTATCACTCCACATGCCAACGACATTGTTAATATTTTATCTATTCATAAATGCTCCTTTGCTCTTATATCTGAAACGTGACTATTACCCAATCGCCATTTTCCCTTCCTAATTTTAATACATTATGAGCCGATAGACACAATGGTTACGGTGGTGTCGCCATTGCAGCTCATCAGCTTATACAAATTACTCTGATTACTATCAATGACAATCTTATTTGATCTTTACGTAATCATTCTATTGATTTGGTTGGTATTGCCGCCATTTTTAACTCTACTTCACCTATTTCTCATTGGTCCATATATACCCCCCTCATCCAACCCTCCTTTGAATATCATAATTTCTATTTTCAGTCTAATTTTTCCTAACTCCATCTTAGGGGGCGACATCAATGGGCTTCATCCCGCATTGGACTCCATTGACAGTAATCATCGTGGTAATATAATTTTCTCTTCAATCTCCTCATTTGGTCTAAGTATTATTAACAATGGCCCTCCGACTCTTGCAAATCGTCCTCCTTATGAAGACACAGCCGTTGATATATCGATTTCGTCTCCTTCTCTATCCTGGTCTTTATCTTGGACCGTTCTAGACTGTACTTACAGTAGCAACCACTTTCCTATTATTATCTCCTATACACCAAGCCTAACTAATCACACAGTTGACCCTTCTCCCTTCTTTTCCTCACGTAAATTCAATTTCTTCAAAGCTGACTGGCGCTTATATTCTGCCTACATCGCTGCTTATTTGTCCAACTTTTGTTTTTCTTCTGCTCCGTTATCAGATTATGATTCCTTTACTTCTATTCTACTGAAATTTGCGATGCCTCTATACCTATTCTCAAAACTTCCAAAAAAAATTTTCCTCCTGCCCCTATTTGGTGGAACTCTACATGTATGGCCGCTGTTAAGGAACGCTCCGTTTCTTTTCGTCAGTACAAATCCTCCGGTTCTATTTCTGACTTTCTTGCTCATCAACGTATAAGATCTTCCACCGCTCGCACTCAAAAATATGCTAAAAAAAATGCTTGGAATTCATTTTGTTCTTCCCTTAATCCCTCTACATCTATTCAGGAGCTTTGGCTCACTGCCAAAAAATTTAAAAACTGCATTAATTGTCGCCCAGTTTTCTTAAATGAATCTTAAATAAATTCCTATCCCCAAACCTAATTCTTTCCCTCCTGCTTTTCGACCTATTGCCCTCTCCTCGTCTCTCTGTAAAAAAATAATCTTATCCCGAATAACCTATTGGGGTTTAGAAGAAGCTGAGGCTCTATGGAGTGTCTGTCTTCCTTTATAGAACCCATATATGAGTCCTTTTGCAAAAAAAAAATTCCTTCCAGCAATATTTATAGATATCAAAGCCGCATTCGACTCAGTTCATATTCGTACTATTTTAAAACGCTTAAACGCTATTGAACTACCCACTTCTCTTTGTAATTTTAATNTTAAACGCTATTGAACTACTCACTTCTCTTTGTAATTTTAATTTCCTCACTTTTTCTCATCGCTTCCTACACTTCTCCACCCCTTCCGAGGTTTCTGTTTCTCGTTCTTCTTTTCGTGAGCTTCCACAAGGAAGCTCTCCTAGCCCCATTCTTTTCAATATATATATATATATAAGCACTATCATTAATGACCTCTCCTCTCACGGTTTCTCATCCCTCTTTTATGCTGATGATATTGTCCTTTTTTCTTCGGATAAATCACTCTGTAGCTAATCTCAACGACTCCTTGTCCATACTCCACCAAAACCTTCTCTCTTCTTACTTTACCTCAGCTCCTGAAAAGAGTCAATTTATTATTTTTACCAGAAAACATATACCTTTATCTATCCCTATAGTCACTTTATATGCTCATTTAATACCCTCTCCAATACTCTTACTTAGGACTTAACTTAGATACCCAAGTTAAGATGGGTTCCTCTTTTCCAGTTCCTTTTTTCCTTTGCATCGCGCTGGTCTAATTTTCTCCGTTGTATTACCGAGACATCTTAGGGATCCCACCCCTTTTATTAATTTTTAACTCTATTATTCGCGCTAAGGTTGATTACTGTTCCTTTCTTTTCTCTTCTTCATCCTTTTGTCACCGTAATAAGCTTATTTCAGTAATGGCTTCTTGCTTCCGCTCAATTTTAGGCGCCCTTCCTTCTACTCCTTTTCCCAGCTTTGAAATTGAATGCTGTTGTCCTCCTATCAAAATTAGAAGCCGTCGCTTAGCTGGAAAATTTCTCCTAAAATCTATTTCCTGTCCTAAACCTTCAATATTTAATCTTTTTAAAACCGTTCACCAACTCTGCAAATCTCTTCCTATCCTTACTTCATCACTATATGTTCTTCACTTTCTCCTCTCACTATTCATATCCAGAAGTCCTATAGTTGTCTTCCTATGACTTCCCTTACGAGGCATTAATTATAACTCCTTCCGTTCATGTTCTAACTAATTTCCTAGGCTACTCACCTTATAACATTCAATCCCTTTATTTATCCATTATTAATAATTTATTCTCTCACTATATTTCTACAAACTTTCCCAACTCTCCTCTAATTATTACTGATGGGTCTGCCTCATTAGTCAAAACTGGCTGTGCTTACTACATACCAAGTCTTAATATCTCCTTTTCCACCAACCTGCATCCCCTTTATTCCTCTTTTATTACCAAATGCATTGATATTGCCAATGCACTTCGCTACATTTCTATTTCTCTTGATACCTCTTTTTTCATCTGCTCAGATTCATAGGCTTGTCTTCTTGCTATTAATTCTAACCCTTTTGATTCTCAAACTTCCCCTATAATTCAATTAGAGCACTCCTCCACAAAATTTTAACCTCTGGTAAAGAAGTTCAATTCCATTGGGTCCCTAGCCATGTCGGGATCCACGGTAACGAGTTCGCTGATTCTCTGGCTAAATGCGCATCATATTTCCTATGTTATCCTTCTTTTCTCCTCCCTTATTCTGATACTCAACATTAGTTTAGATCTACTCTAATGGAAGAATGGCTCACTAAGTGGTCTTTTTTCCCTAACAGCTTTGCCCAATGGCATCGATCCATTGTACCTAGCCCTTCCAAAATTCCGTGGTTCCATCAACTAGATCTTACTCGCAATATCATTTCAAGCTTTTCACGACTCAGACTGGGTCATAGCCTTTTACCAGCATTCGCTTACAGACTAAACCTGAACTATGTTCCCTTTTGCCATTTATATTAGGATGAAGTCCTCGGAGATTTTTCTCACTATTTATTGAATTGCTCCTCCTTGGCGTCTAATAGGTGCCTGCTTATAAAATTTTTAGAATCCAATGGAATTTCCAATTTTATTCCCTCTGTTGTACTAAATTCCCATTCTATTCCCGTGATTACTGCGATCATTTCTTTTATATTGAGCGCTGGTTGTACTATTAAACTTCTTTATTATATATTATAATTTATTGCATATACTTTACTTTTATTATACTAACTAACACCCATTATTCTTGTAATTCACAACGCTAATTAACATTATATTATCTAATTCTTATGTAATTGTCGAGCTATAATATTTTCATAATAAAAGCTAAAAAAATTAAAATTAAAAAAAAATGTATAACATTTTTAAGAATTAATATAAAAATATTTCTCTTTACAATTTGTTTTTAACAATTTTATTTTATATTTAGGGAATGTCCAGAAGATAGATGGATGTTAGAAATGATTAAACCAGAGTATGTCGAAAATCCTAAGATTTTACAGGACAAATGTGAGTATTCTATGCCATAAACAGTTTTATTAGACATTGAAGATTATATTCCTCGTGTAATAATTGTGAATTAAATTGTTTTACTTAAGTTCCTTTGAAAAAAATAACTGAAAAAAATAAGCGTGAGCAAGAAGAAAAACAAAAGGCCTTAAAAGCAGAAACGTAAGTTTATCAATTTTTTTTTGTATTCATATTACATTAAGTTTTTAATAGTAAAAAAAAAACGGTAGCATAGTGGGGTCTAGGCACAGTGTAGACAAGGCATAGATATGACAAGTATAGATGATATCTCACAGTGATTAAAATCACTATCATAAGAAACGCTTCGATGCAAATCTGTAGATAGTGTTTTATTTAGAGAAATTGGTAGATTATTGCAAAAGCAACATAAACTCTTATTTCTTTGATTATATCCTAATTAGTAGTTCTTTAATTTTAAAATATAATATATGAATAAATACTAATTATAATTATTAAATTAAGTATGAAAATAAAAAAGTAAAAAAAATTTAATAAGTTTAATTTCTTATGTCTTATGACCTTTATTCTATGTCAATTAAATTATATAATATTCATGAAAGTCAATATATTCTCCTAATAAGATATTTTAAAATAAAATAAAATACAAAACCTAGAATTTTAATAGAAAAATAGCATATTTTTGAATACGGTAGCCAATTGTGCATAGAAGATAGGTCCGTCGGGATAAATTTTTTTTTTTTTTTGTAGTACATAAAATAAGCTTTAATTTTATATATGTTTAAAGGACGCAGTATTCCCGGAACACTTTTAAAAGTTAAGTTGAAAAAGTTCTATTTTTTATACAATATTTCAAGTTTTGAACGCCCCCTATATATGGGAAAATTGTGCAATTTTAATAAAAAGTATGTCAAATGAAAGATGTACTTATAATGTATTTAGAAAAAAAAAATTTGTGCTGATATATACATTTTTCAAAAAGTTATAGCATTTTTAAGTTGAAAATTTAAAATCGAAAATCGAAAATTTTAACACAAAAATAGTGTTTTTTTAACTACGGCAGCCGTTTAAATGTAGAAGAAAAAGTGTCGGGACAAATTTTTTTTTTCATTTTGTAGTACATAAAATAAGCTTTAATTTTATATATGTTTAAAGGACGCAGTATTCCCGGAACACTTTTAAAAGTTAAGTTGAAAAAGTTCTATTTTTTATACAATATTTCAAGTTTTGAACGCCCCCTATATATGGGAATATTGTCCAATTTTAATAAAAAGTATGTCAAATGAAAGATATACTTATAATGTATTTAGAAAAAAAAAATTTGTGCTGATAATTACATTATTCGAAAAGTTATAGCACTTTTAAGTTGAAAATTTAAAATCGAAAATCGAAAATTTTAACACAAAAATAGCGTTTTTTTAACTACGGCAGCCGTTTAAATGTAGAAGAAAAAGTGTCGGGACAAATTTTTTTTTTTCATTTTGTAGTACATAAAATAAGCTTTAATTTTATATATATTTAAAGGACGCAGTATTTCCGGAACATTTTCAAAAATTAAGTTGAAAAAGTTAGTTTTTGTAAAAAAGTTGCTATTTTAAATCCCCCCCGATGAGCAGGTTAAGTGTTAGATTTTCAAAAAAATGATATCAAATGAAAGGGAAATATCTAAGGTTTTAGTATAAAAAAAAATTATGTTGATTTGTTGATTTTTCAAAAAGTTATGGAAGTTTTAAGAAAAAAAAGTGAAAAAA